GCAGACAACGATGATCAAAGACTTGGAGGCGCCTCAGATGTTCAGACCAAAGGGGCCAAGTTTCACTACCATAGAGCAGAACGGCCCTCACTGTGGCCTTGTATACACGGCCTTTCAGACGGAGGGAAACTCCCTTCTGTCGCCAAAGAGGCCGCAGGTTCAAGAAGGCAACTCTGGCCTTTGCAATGCGTGAGCTCACGTCAGTTTCTATACGCCCATCATTGCTGATGCAGCTGCCAAGATAAGTGAAACGATCAACCACCTCGAGCTCCTCGTTAGCAAGCGTCAAGGGGTCATCAAGTGGCTGGTGGTCCTGCAGCAACACTTTGCATTTCGAAGGTGCGAAGTGCATACCAAATAATGGGAACACTCTGGATAGGCTATTCAGGGTTGATTGTGCCGCCGCAAAGCAAGACGATATCGTCCGCATAATCTAGATCAACTAACATTTCACCAGGCAGAACGCCTACATCGTGAGATTCCGCAAGGGAACACTCCATGATAGAATCCACGACGAAATTGAACAAAAACGGGGAAATCGGACAACCCTGACGAACGCCACTTATAGTCGAAAAGCTGTCCGCTAGGACACCGTAGACCCTGATGCGGCCTGTAGTGTTCGAGTATAGAGCACGAAGGATGTTCACATATTTCGTGGGAACACCTTTCCGCGCAAGTATTTCCAACAGAATCGATCGATCGACCGAATCGAACGCACTCCTGAAATCAAGGAACACAGCTATTGTCGATCTGCGGTATGCGTGGCGCTGCTCTAGCACCTGCCGCAAAGTAAATATATGGTCTATACAACCACGCCCTGGGCAGAAACCGGCCTGCTCTTCCCTAATCCGAGATTCCCGTTCTGCAGTGAGGCGACGAACGAGAATCGAGGCCAATAATTTTGTTACAACTGGCGTTAGGCTATTACCTATGTGGTTAGAACAGTCTGTGCGACTGCCCTTCTTGTAAATTGCCACTATAATCGATTCGCTCCAATTAGCCGGGACACTCTCTTCCTTCCAGATACCTTCGAATAAGAAGGTCAGTGCCTTGCAGAGGACCTCACCTCCATCCTTAAATAGTGCAGGTGGGAGGGAATCCGGACTAGCGGCAAGAAAACGATTAGGGGCTGTGATCGCGCTTCGGACCTCGGCCTCCGACGGAGGCTCTAAACTAACCGTCCATGGCACGTCCTGCATCACCTGAGTAGGAAGAGGTCCGGGAGCAGGGGGCCAGCTGAAATGAGCTTGAAAGTGTTACGCCCAACGAGCCCAATGGTGTACTTTATTGTGTATCAGCGCTCCCGCGCTGTCTCTGATTGTCTCAATGACGCCTGGTTTTCTGGGACCAGTGGTGCTGATTAGCTGGAAGAGCTTGCGGTAATTGCCTACTGCTCCTGCCCCCTCCATTTCTTGAGCCCTACTGGTCCACCAGGCTTCCTTGTCAGCACGTAGGCTCCGCTTTAGTTCACGCCTAATAGCCCGTCTGGTCACATTGTGTTCAGAACCAGCCGGGAGGTGTCTTCTTGATTCCAACAGATTCACCGACCTCTCGGATATCTAGTGACTGGTGCTGTGACGACTGATAGTGCCACAAGCAGATGCCCCTGCGTCGTGCATAGTGGCCGAGATCCTATTCCACTGAAGTTCAGTGTCATTAGGACAAGACAGCGAGAGTTCGCTACGCAGTGCTTCTCGATAGGCTTGCCTGACCGAGGACTGAGACAATTTCTCAGTTGCCAATCGTAGGGGACGGTTGATGCGCATCCGGTAAAGTTCATGGAGAAACGACAGCGTACCAAGGCATGATCAGAGTCGACACAAGTACTCCAGTACGAGCGGCAATCCAGAATGGAACCACGCCACCTGTAACTTATGGCTATGTGGTCAATTTCAGTCCATCGCTGACCAGCTACAGGAGGACGCCAAGTGGCACTTCGGCGCCCACTGTGTCTAAAAGCAGTGCTACTGAGAAACAACTGATGCTCCGCACACAGTTGCAGCAGACGCTCACCGTTGTCAGTCTGTTCGGAGTTAAGCCCACAATAACCACCCAGCTGAGCTTCTGAAGAGCTCAGACGCCCTACTTGTGCGTTCATATCCCCTGCAAGTACTATAATATCTGAACTAGTAGCACTACGTAGTAGCGCGATCAGTTCGTGATAGAATGTGTCTTTGACAGCATTAGAACTGCAGTCGGAGGGAGCATAAGCGAAAATCAAAAACAAACAGCGTTTTGTTTTACTTCGCGAATTCACCTTAGCTGATGTCGTCAAACGGGCTGCACATAAACGGATGTTCACCGGAATCCAATCAACCAACGATGGCTCAGCCTTAGAGCTTAGAATGATACCTACACCAGCTTGACCCGTGAGTGCTGCATCGACGTCTCCGGATGCGTGCAACCAATAACGAAAAGATAAGCCGGGTGCAGTTAATTCAATAACCCCGTTAGGGTCATTGATCCTAGTTTCGGACACACAACACACATCAATACACAGTGTGTCCAAGGTGCGTGCGAGTGCAGCCTGTTGACCTGTTTATCTTAGAGTGCGAACGTATCACAACAAACCTAAGGAGTTGGATAGGAGATATTATGAGATTGCAACATATCTGGTCATATGCGGCTGCTCTCTCCTTCTGTCTGTCGTTTCCATTGGACTTCATCACTTAGACTATCGAAAAGTGGGACGTTAGTTCCTGGAAGGATACAACATAGGTAGACCCGTTGAGCCTTCAGTAGTGCAGCTGATGAACAAGTCGAACACAAGTGTGGCTATGCGTCCGCTTGTTGGGATGAACCCACGGAGCTGCTTGCTATCTAATGTTTCGCACTAATTGCTGGCTCGCGAGAGTTCCCAACATTTTCAGGATGCATTTGCAACAAAATCTTTGGACAGAATCGCAGTAAATTGCGGGGGGAAGTTTAAATTAGTAAGTGGATACACGAAATATGGGAAACATGAGAATTCACACGACAATTAAAGCGCTTAACAGCATTAGCTTTCTGTCTAACAATTGCGGAAAAGCGCCACATGAAGATTGTTTCGTTATTACAAACAGTAAGATGGTAAGAATGGCGAGAGAAATGATACCGACGAAACGCGGACCGGAAACTTATTTACGATGAACAAATTTAGATTCAGAAAAGCAACCAGAATTGACTAAAACAGACGGAACCAATGATATGCGCAAGGGAACGCAAGAGACAAACCGGTGTTAAGCAGGGCGATGAAAAGCAACCAGGCAATGAGACGTGGTGACAGAATCAAATAGAATTCGGCGTGAGGCACGCGTGGTTGATTGCAGCGAACGGAACTGAAAGGGACTCCACTCAGTCTGTTCAAACAAATGAACGCATGGGCAGATAATAATAATAATAATAATAATAATAATAATAATAATAATAAAGAGAATAAGGATAAGAGATGGCATATCAATATACTTGTCAGTATTTCGAAGCAACTCTTTTCCGATCAGATTCTCAGCAGACGTTAACACCAAAGTACCGCGCGATTTATATCCCAACAGGCCCCTCTGCATATCTCCAAGTGCGTACTACCGAACACGTGCAAATATATAACATCATGAGGAGTTATCACAGTAGAGGCAGCAAATTTACCAATATGCGCACACCTAAAAAGGCACAAACATACGCATACGTAATCTTGTTAATTCGTCATCTGTCGACCGGCTTATAACCAGGGTAAAGCCAGAGTGACAAACGCGTCCTTCTGCACACACAAAATAGGACCAAGTTGCTTGATCGCGATCGCCTCAGCGTGTCACAAAACATGAGTGTTGTTTGACGGCTAGAATACACAAAATATATGCGCGGGGTCCACGCAGTATGTCTGTCAGTAGATGGTGAGCGATTGATGATGCAGACGTCTTGTACGGTATACAGCTTGCGTTCCTTGGCAACACACCTGGAGTGGTGTATCACATCGAGTAATCAGCAACTGTTGACCGTGGTCGTGTGTTGCCGGGTATCCCATATTCAGTAAACCGGAAAGGGCGGAGAGGTCAGGGTCTATCGAGCCGATAGCCCGATGTGCTCAGCGTGCTAAGGTAGGCACAGCAAGCAGTAAGAGTAAATGACCGAACGATAGTGATACAGTGCAAAACGATAAACAACCAGACAGCATGAGTTCAGAGAGGCTTGGGAACAATCGGTTGGCGTGTTTGTTAGGCAACATTACACATTCGACACAAAAGCTTTTTCAGACAAAGTAAATCAGTAAACAATTGGGGCGGCATTTTGTAGCGAACAGGGACGCCAATCGCTCTGAACTCATAACTTCTCGATCGGTTCCAAGTACATTCTGCGAGTTTGCATCCAGGTGGCAGTTTACTTGACAAAAAGCAAACAGCACCAAAAGATAGCGTGGCAGTGAATTACTAATGCTTCTTTCTTCTACTGCGCATAAGCATGGGGCCCCAGTACCTGCAATGATGGTGTGCACAGGCGTGTATAAGGTGGCGGTGGTTAGCTAAGTTCAGAAAACAGTTGAAACTGAATAGAATGTGCCGGTTCGGTCACGTGCCGTTCGTCGAGGAATTCGTTTTGGTTGCTGAATCCAAGGTGACGTAAGGCTCGAGGGAGGCAATCGTTGAAGCAGAAGTTGGAACTAAAACTTAGCTGTCAAACAGAGTGATTTCAGCCCTCTTGGCTTGAGGTACCGCAGGACACCAAACATCGTCACCTAGCTGGACCGCCTACTTAAGATGAGCCCGGTACCGTGTTATCTGCACGACAAAGTCGACTATGATGAACAGAGGAGAAAACCGAAGGAAAGCTGTTTGGCCAAATACAGCTCATCTTTCCACCGCAACCGAGGTAAAAATGAATAGGCACTCGGTGATAAGGGTCTCACACGGGGACATTTCTAGCCCCCTCCTTGCTGTGCATAAGTAGAGTTGTACATCTCAAATGGTTGAATGGAAATGAAGCATCAGAACGAGTAGTGTTGTTGATGATGAAATAAGCTACGTGAAAGAAGAACATACCCGCGAAGTGGGGGGCGGAGCAATTTCTGCATAACCACGTTGCGAGCATCCCGCCCGCGGATGTGGAAATTCTCTTGGTGCTCCAAGCTGCCCATATCGTCATCTTCGTTAAACCCAGACTGAAGGTGAGAAGCTGATTCTTGAGCTTCTATGTGGTCCCAAGACAGTATACCTAGGGACGTATGATAGAATATCATTCGATGGTCATACCTGGGGGAGATCCATTGGAATCCGGCATTCCAGTGGCGTTTATTGAACCGGGAGACTGAAAGCGAAGGAATTGATTTGATCAAACGATGCGAAGAGAATAAACGACTAAACGTGGCAAATACTAAACTGATACGTAGAGACGAGGACGATGAGAAAACTGGAATGCTGTTAATTACCGAGATGCTTTGCTCTATTGGTCGTACGACGCCCTAGCATCCGAGGGGAGTGAAGCAGCCTGATAAAGAGGGAGGGGGTTAAGAAGAGAGCTGCGAGAGGGAAACGCACACAGGGAGATAATATGCATCAGACGGGTTAAGGACGACGAAGTTACACGGGAAAGGGGAGGGGGAATAAAGGAGAAGAAATGCACCACGAGTACGGCGTTCGGAGAACAATCTTCGCGACCCATCAAGACCGCCATGGTGTCCCATCACTTCCAAAGCTACTATCCGAGCGACTTCACAGCCGAAGCATTAAAGGGGTTGGGGAGGCGGAAAGACAGAAAGAAAACTTAGTTATAAAGCTTTGTTGAGCAGTAGCCATAAGGAAAACTAATAATGCAATAATAAATACACACAAGTAACACATGCGACCAAAAGCAGTGAAACTGATAAAACAACTTATAAAACCACTAACCCGTCCTTTGGCCATGCTTTCAGTTTCCATGGCGATTACCCGGGCTGTAGCGGAAGCAGCTGCAAGTGCTGCAGCAGTCGGGATTCCAGAGTTGGAGGAAGTTGTGGTAGTGGGTTCGTCAGGAGGCGCGATAGCCTTGCATACTCTTAAAAACTGCCCTCCCAGATCGAACATATTCATGCTGGCTACAGCGTCATTTGCAGATTGCTCCGACTCGTATTCGATATAACCAAAACCGCGATGTTTCTGCATTTTAGTCTGATCAACATGCAACCTAAAATTGGCGGAAATTTGTGATCGTAAAGCACTACGTACTTGCAACTCATTATCTTTCCAAAAGCTTCAAACACAAGAGCAAGATCCTCCTCCGAAAGATCAAGATGGACGCCAGAGACATAAACCTTCTTTTCCAGCTTGTACTCGGTTACCAATTCGTTGATAAGAGGTTCAGCCTGCGGTAAGTTACTAGGGCGACCAACTTTAAGTTGCCTGCCCCCCAAGCTAGCATTATTCATTTGCTCGACAGCTAAATGAGCAGCTTCCGGATACTCAAACTCAATGAACGCGAACCCTTTGTGTTTCTGCGTCGCAGCGTCCCAACTCATCGTTACGGTCTTGATTGGACCAAAAGGCTGAAAAGCCACTTTAATGGAGTCTTCTTTTAGGTCATAGCTAATAGAACCGACGTAAATACGACTCAAAAGGTTGAGCGTCTGAGTTTTTTTGGTAAGAGGAGATTGCTGCAACTGCTGCTGGCGAGTTTGTTTAGCCAGGGCGGACTTGATGCTTTCCTCCATAGCGTATTTCTTCGCACGATCGACGGCTTCCCGTTGCTCGAGTTCAAGCTTCATAAGCATGAAGGGTTGGCGCTGTGTCAGGGAACCAGGGCCATTGTACACAGGGCCTGTCTGATCGTAGCCAAGTTTTAGGGGATTTAAAAGGTTTGCGGTTGGAAGCGACAATCCTAAACTAAGACCAGTCCCGATGCCGGTCAATCCGAGCACGGGAAGAGTACTGGCACTGATTCCATTCAAACCTATAAGCTAAACAAAAAAGGTGATCACAAACAAACACTTACCGAGGATATGTTCATCATCCGCCAAGATTATAAGGTACTCTGAATATAGAAACACCAGAGAACGATTAATACAGCAACCTTATAACAACCTAAGAAGACCTGCAGCTATAAATACTATGACAATCCTAGAAAAGAGCATAAAGACTTTGCTGATAATGCAATACCTAGTGAAAATAAAAGTGGGAGCCCGGAAAAAGGAAGCTAATAGTAAATCAGCGTTCGTATACTGTGCTTTGGTTGGGTTTGCACTTAGAAGGGATACAAACAAGTGCCATTAAAGAAGTATAAACTCAGAGCACATGCCACTGAGGCAAATCAGGCAGCAAAATGTGTTAGTAATTGAAACGAGGAATGAATAAACTTTAAACTGTATTGTCTGAATGCTGACTTGTGACCTGCATGGATAGCTAAAAATATTCACCAATTACGATATACATGACGTGTCGCGAAGAAATGATTCTTAGAGCACATAGCATATAAAAATTTGACGTGGCGGTGATATTGTAGACATATACTGAAAAGAAAAACAGACCAGATTCGCGAACCCTCACAAGCAAGATAACAGTGTGCTAGCCATACGCCTAGCAAAGTAGCGCAAGACATAAAGAGACAAGTTGAGCTCGTCAGTAAAGCAACGAAATCAGATTTCAATGACCTGCTACCAACCGCCAAAAAGCGCTAACTGCCGAATGGACTTGACTTATGTGTGCTGCCTCCGAAACGTACCAAATATCGGTGTCCTAATGCACCACTTGTATGACGACAATTGAAATCACCCGAATAGAGAATAGAGGCGAATTATGCGGTTCCGGAGATTCAACAGCCAATCTAAACAAGGGCTCAGGGACTATGATAAACTGCACCTACGAGAACCTCTCCGCGCCGGAAGTAGATCAAGCACCGCAACCGCTCACAAAGGTCATCGTCGCCTCGATAAACGCTCACAAGTTTCCCACACAGAGAAGACTGCATGTAGAACAACACATCGCGGGTTTTCCATAGCCAGTCATAGTAGAAGCACGAGTAGCCACTAAGCTCAAGTTTTTGGGCGATTAGCTCAGCACTCGACCACGTTTCTGTGAGCCCCACCACGTTTTGCTGCTCAGAAGCGACGAAACGGCATAGCTCATCAAGGTTATTCGTAAAACTGCATCCGTTGGAAAAGGCTACACACAGGCAGCGGTAGGAACCCCAAGGTGCGCCTGGAGTGAGTGAGAGTTGCTTGGGGGTCAAAAGACCGGGAATCAGTAAGTGGTTAGTGCTCCCACAATAATACTTTGATATTGATACTGATACTGTATTTAAGAGCAAGTAGAAAGGTTTCTGTACAACTCTATCGAATTACGAAAAATCAAAATTTACTTCTGAATTATCAGCAGTTGTGTCTGTTCCGTTAATCGTTAGATATTTTTAGGCTTTTCTTGGAATAGCTCATCGAGGCATTTTTCCCATGTGAATATAGAGATTACGGTAGTTAGAACAAAGTAATTGGTGAGTCTGCTTCTTAATGTTGCCACATTGTCACATGATCTGAGTGTTATTTGAAGTCTATTCCACAGATAGCTATATCTCACCAGGAGGAAATTAGAGCGGACATTCATTTTAGTCTTTGGCATTTTCAGTGTAAAACCTTTGTTGTGAAGTGCTCAAGTTGAAAAAGGTTGTAAATTGAGTGTAAGCAGGTCGGAACAGGTCTTTTTGTGCAGCGCGTTGAAAAGCAGCAACAAGTTGTGCTTCAATCGCCGAAGCCAAAGTGGTACGAGATGAAGTTCATTGCAACATTCTCGATAACTCATTGCAGTGTGTTTACCAATCAGATGTTTAGCAAATGACCTCTGCAGGTGCTCCACAGCAATTCTGTCACTCTTCATATTGCCGTACGTTATGGTGCAGTATTCGAGGATGGGGTGAGTGAGTAGCTTGAAAACCTCAACTCTAGCACGAATTGTGTATTTTGTTTGTAATATTGAACACAGACTGTCTGGCATGTGTTACTTGGTATTGGACCTGTTCGGAGAAATTGAAAGTAGACGAGTATTTAATTCCAAAATCCCGTGTGAACAGCTGTGCAGGGACGCGTTCATTATGTAGGGTGACAGATTCTTCGGGGATGCAGCAGTCGTAAGACATGATGCTTGATTTCTTAACCGAGAGGTTCATCACCCATGTGTAACACCACGACTCAAAGGAATGTAAGTCATCTTGAATGAGCAGTAGTGTCCCGTGAATCTCGTCACGCCGAAGCTGATAGACGATTTTGATATCGCCAGCAAAAAATGGTGTACCATGTTTTACAGATGTGGTGATACCATTGATGTAGAGCAGAAAGAGTGAGGGACCGAACAAGCTCCCTTGAATGACCCCACTGGCGATTGAGCGTGAAGAAGAGCGATAATCACCTAAAGTGACTACCTGATGATGACCACACAGGTATGACGATAACCAACCTAGTAATGGGTCCCGGATCCCAAAGTTCTCCAACTTTTGCAACAGTCGCTTGTGCGGTACTCGGTCGAATGCTTGGTGTATGTCAAGAAGCAGGATTACTACTGCATAGCCGGAATCGATTGATGCTGTAATGTGGTTAAGGTAATGCAACTGACAGGTGGTGCACGATCGCTTGTTAAGAGAACCATGCTGCAAATTATTGATCAGGACAATAGAATCAAAAAAGTTCACCATCTCCTTTCTGACCAGTTGTTCAAATAGCCGAGTGATTATCGGAGTGTGATGAATAGGTCGTTTGTTTGGGACCTTCTTTATGTCGAGACATAATAAATGACGTTTTCCATTGGTCTGGAAAGTGGCTAGATTCTAGCGATAAAGTAAACCTGATCATCAGGAGCAATGGTATATCAGGCCCTCCTAGCCTAATGGTGGTTGGTGAAGTGCCATCAGATCCCAGAAGATGGCTTGATTGATTTGATAACTTTGTGGATACCGTTGAGTGAGATATCGACTCTGCTTAAGAGGTTTGTTACTGTAAGCTGTGTGCACACAGGCACAGGGTCAGCTTCGCGACTCATAGTAGTGGCAAAAAAGTCACTGAATGCTTCACAGATTTCAGCTGGGTCATGGAGTAAGTGACCCTCATCATCAACAATTTCGGTAATCAGAGGGAAGCGGTCACTGGTTCCTACGATGCAGTATTTTGACAATCTCCCTAGCTTTGCAGCTTGTCCGTAGAGCTACATGTTCTTCATTTTTAGTGCGCCCGTGCCGCTCCTGATTGTCACGTAGACACATGAGCTCCCAGAACCAGTGGTGCAGACCAACTAGATGGGGCTGTGATAAGGGAACATAGCTTCTGTCTTTTCCGATTACTTCCTTATCAGCACACAAACGCTGTTTTAGTTTGCGCATAATAGTCCACCCGGTTGCATCATATTCGGTAGCAGCAAATGTCCACTCACCGGATTCGAATATGTATGTTGACATCGTGACTATCTAGTGTAAGGCAACAAGCAGAAACCCTTGCATCGCGCATGGCAGCGAAGATACTACGCTACTGAATTTCGGTGGAAGTTGAATGAGAATTAATACATACAGAACCCTGTTAAGTCTGTCCGATCGAAGTCAGAATCAGCTTCTCGAGTACCGATAGAAGAAAACGATTAGACTCCATCCGAGGCTGGATAAAGTCATTTATTCACTCCTTATACATGTTAGCTAGAGGTGGAAGACACCACAGCTATTGTGCTACAACACATGAGAAAAGAGAAAAACGCGCAACAGAACCGATAGAAACAGATGGACACCGTTCCGGAGTTAGCAGCCGGCTATTGTACCGCAACAAGTTATGTTAAGCGTTGGAAAATGAGATGTTGGCCTAGCCGTCGGAGCCTGGTGCGTGAAATAATGGTGCTGAGCGACCCACTTCTTCCTGTGCCATAAACTAGGCGTTGAACACGCTCATTTCTCACACGGTTTTCCCACCATATATGAGCCAAACTGCGAACGCACCGGTGGTCAAACGGAACTAGCCTTTATGCGTCTGCCGATCTAATAAGCCGTCTCACAACCGTACAGTAGGGTCGGACGTACGGTTGCATTATAACCTCTACCTTTCAGGGAGAGAGTGATGTCACGCTGGGGCCATAGGTGGCGAGGGTTAGAAAAAGCGTCTCGTGCTTTGCTATACGTTTCGTGCCCTCGTCTTCGGTTCTACGAGCGCGGACACAACTGCCTAGGTAGTTGAACTTCTGAACGACTTCCAACTGATCCCACCATGAGTCAGCGCAGGAGGCGATCCCCGCCAATGCTGAAGGGGAGCTTGGCACTTCGAGAGTGCAAAGCAAAGCCTGAAGCAGCTGACAGCCAGTGTTAATCTGTCCAGAACAGCTTGGCACTTTGTGAGCTATCACAGAGGAGAGCAATGGGGTCAGCATACTTCAAGTCAAGAAGTCTTTCATTTGGGAGCAGCTCCACACCTTCCAACTCATGGCCGATGAACGCCGTTTCCATGACTTCGTGCATATCGAAGTTGAACAAGAAAGGTGACAGTGTGCATCCTTGCCTTACACCGCTGGATATATTGAAGGGAGGTTACGGCTTGTCGTAGGCCCTTATTCTGCCCGAGTTACGGGCGTGGAGTGCTCAGATAGTATTTGCATATTTCTCGGGCACACCTTTCCCTAACAGGTAGTCCCAAAGAGCACACCGATCAACCGAATCGAATGCCCTTTTGATGTTGCGGAACACAGCATCACTCCCCCATACGATTGCCAGCCAAGGCAATCGTAGGTCTGCGCGCAGAGCGCTCAATATCGGGCCCTGGAACGTGCGCACTTCGCTCGACGGGGATACGAGTGAGCGTCCTGAGCGACGCACTGCACTGGTCGCGATGGAACTGGCACGCTACAACATCGATATTGCGGCGCTCAGCGAGACCTGGCTCGCTGAGTAAGTTGCATGAAGCTGATGCTGACTAGACGTTCTACTGGGTAGAAAACACCACCTCAGCACCACATGAACATGGGGTCGGATTTGCAATATCCCATCGTCTAAATGGTCAGCTGGTGCGTGATCCCACTGGCATCA